CTGTTCATAGATGATTTTCAAAATAATTAGCAATTTTCTAGGTGTAAACTTTTTTTTGACTCGCGCAGTATTTCCATTCCATTCCAAGCTATATTTCCCATACTTTAATGACCACAATTACAGTTTTATATCAGATGATTTTATCAATTACCAAGCCCTACAAGAGCTTGGAACAATTTTCTAGGTGTAAACTTTTTTTGACTCACAACTAGACCTCCCTTTCACCTTTGAGACCAGCAGACTTCAACCTGACATTTACAACCATTTATAGGTGCACTGTTTTGTCCAGAAACTGCCAATGTGGTTCGTCGTCATTCTGTGCTTAGAGTCTGATATCATTCGTATATACCGAATGGTTAAATGTTGCTGAAACATCATTTCGTACAGACCAATGACGTGTACCTTGAAGGATGGAGCATACCGGATTGTGAGCCAGCTGATCTGACGCAGGCGCGGATCCAGGATTTCTTTGGAATCAATTTAAAATTTAGTGTGCTGAAATTTGAAAATCGTGCCGGCCAGGGGGGGGGGGGGGGGGGGTGGTGAGCACTAAACTTTTTTTGGCCGTCGAACATTTTAAAAATCGCACCCTCCCCCCTTGAGCGCCAGGGGGGGGGGCATCTAAAAAAAAATCACGTGTTTTTACACGTCCCCCCCCCCCCCCCTGGATCCGCCACTGAGCTGACGGACGAGCTGATGAGACAACGAATCTCCTTGAATATGACTTCTGGTATCGAACATGAACCGAGCTGCCGTTATAGGGTCAAAGTTGTCTTCCATAATTGTAATCATTACTATTATTACAATTATTATTATCATCATTATCATTATTATTATCATCATTACCATTACTATTAGTATAACTATCATTATTGATATCATTATTATTCTTTGATTAAGTTAATCTCACTTCTCTCATCCATTCGCAGGATGGGGGTACGAGCAGTTTCTCCAGACTTGTGATATATACAGCCGACTTCGTCTCTGTGATCAACATCCTTCTCGCCGCCGTACATCAATTCATTACCATCCGGGTGGACCCGTTTGGCGCCCATGGCATCATTACCACACCCCGTATCATCGCTGCCTGCGTCACCACATGGCTGCTTTGCATACCAATAGCGTACCCCATCTCGACCACGCAAGACCTATTCGCTTTCTACATCTCCGCAGTCTCCACCGACGTCGTGCTCCTACTCATCACCGGCCTCTTCTATCTCTTCGTCTATACTACCGTCTCCAAGGGCCCACCTGGTGTCAAGTTTTCTGAACAGAGGAAACTCGAAAACAGAAAAGTGTTTACCACAATAGCATTTGTATACGTAACGACATTATTTTTCCGAACGATTTATAGGGTGGAATATGTCATTGCGGTGTGTAATAATTACTCGATATCACACATTTTAATTGGTAATATCTTCTTCAGCATAGGAACTATGTCAAACTCGCTGGTATATTGGTGGCGACTTAAAGAGTTTAGATCTATGTTAACGAAGTGCAGAAATAACAAAACTGATGTAATGATTGACGGTTTAAATGTTTGAAAAAATAAATTATGAATCAATACTTTCCAGGTTAATTATCTTAAAACAGAAATAGTATTATAATACTTTTATCTTGTACGTGGTTTGGATAATTATTATAATATATGATACAATTAAATAGTGGATACTCCGCGGGTTCGATTATTGATTAGAGGTCAGAGGATAATGTGAAAATGGTTCAATAATTGATTATGTAAGATAAAATAATTCTTACTAATCCAGGTTAATAATATCCAGTTATTTGGAAGCGCATAGAGAACTTAATACAATTAGGACGGATTATTACTATTAGGCTAGTATGATTTGTAATTTATATTATAGTTATCAATATTATTATTATTATCAGCATCAAGTATTTAAAATTTTTCATTAGTAGTAGTTCCAAGGGCGGTTATATTATTATGCAGAATATAGAACATTTTGAATATGAATACGAATATAGAATACTGTGGTACATCTATCATCATGCATGATCATTTTCATGCCAATCAATAAACGAATATTGTGATGCGCAAAAAGCCCTTTATGGGGAGTATCAATAATCATGCCTCGTGCCCTTTTTGCGCGTTCCCCAAATCTCCGGTAAAGGGGTACTTTTTCGCGCCGGACCGTGATGACTTACACACAGCGGAGATATGGGGTGCTTTCAAAGAGAGGGAACATGTTTATACTAGGTTACGTATGATTGTATACATTGTATTTACTACTTAGATAATAACAAGGATGGCAAATACAGTGTAAGCTTAAAAATGCATAAAATATAAAAGAGTGCATGAAAGTAATTGTTAATCTGTCCGAAGTATGTGAAAATATATGGATCCTGTAAGTATTAAGCATAATGATCAATGCATTGAAAATTTAAATAGAATTAACAAATCATTGAGATATATGTATTTGGTATATACATGTATGTATGTATATATATGAAAGTGAGCAAGTAAATGTACCTTTACCCATTTAAGGATATCATTAGATAACTATATTCAGCAATTATAAATGCATATGTACGAGTCTAAAGGAAAAAAAAAATGTATATAGATTAAAACTTTGTGGCCTGAATTATGAATTCGGGCCTGTGTGTTTAACACATTAGTAACCGATATACATGTATCCATCATGTAGTAGGTGTTTTCTAGCTCTTTCTTTTATATATATATATATATATATATATATATATATATATATATATATTGTCTCTAAAGGAAATTTAAGAGGAAAACAAAATATTATGGAAAAAAATAATTTGAGATTTATAAGCAAACTGATCGAGAAAATAGTACAAACTTTATTTGCGATTTTTTTTTTTAATGTGAAAATATAATTTTGTGTATGTGAATATTTTTCATCTGTAAATGTGTAACTTTAGTTGTAACCTTGTTTGTTAATGTAAAAGTTCATTTGCAATTTATTTAGACCTATGTTAAAATTAATTATGTTATAAATTATGTACAATTTTTCTTTATGAGAGAAATGAATAAAAACCTATGAAAACAAAAAAAATCCTGTATTTATAAAATAGCACATGATTGTTGTTTGTTACCAAGATGAAACTGTAGTATACTTCAGATTTTCTTCAAGGTTTCAGCATTGGGAATATGCTTTTGATAGTGTCCCCACCTCTTTTAGTCACAATGGCATGTACCTTACCATGGAGTATCCATCCATGTTGATGTTACCTTGCTATGGTTAAGAGTTTCAAGCAGTAGTTGATGCCAATGTTTAGAACGATCTTCAAAGATGGCGATACCGAAAATCTTCAGTTTATTTTTTCTCTCATGATCTGTTTTTATCCTGTCACAAAATCTCTTCATTTCAATATTTCATATTTCTCTTTTCTCTCCTCGATCTGTATCTCCCTTCCTCTCTTTTACTCCATATTCAATCCTTCTCCTCAGACGCATCTCTCCATCTTTCCTTTTCCTGCGCATCCTCTCTCCTCCATCCCACCTCCTCCTCCCTGTGCCTCCTCACAGTCTCACTCAATCACTCTCTTTCTCTGTCTCTCCCATTCTCCATCTCAACATGTAACTCTTGTTTCCCTTCGCATCTCTGCCTGTCCGTCCGTCTCTCTGTTCTCTTCAGCTGTATCCCACTCTCTGAATATATCTATCTCTTACACAGTCACAACTACTTTGGGAAGTGAAACCACAGGCAATTTCAATAACCTTGTGCATGACCTATATTTCTATTGGATGTAGAGTAGGGTATTGAAATTACAGTGGCATAATTTTTTTCGGATAATTGCAAGAGTGTTCTCTGTTTTCTTCATTTAAGTTTAAAATTATGTTTATGGATACATTCTGTATTTATTTTAGCAATATAATCTTATTTTTTACACATTAACAATATTATTTTGTTTACACGTCATTTGACATTTTTTATCCTATGGATGCTGCCTTTCAGCTCTTAGATATTGAAAATACATAATTATGTAATACATGTTATGAATAAATACATGTACTCAATGTGTATACTGTCCTGTACAGGGTTTTGTGAGTTGATATCAGTGTAAGTGGAGCATGTCCCCCCCCCCCCCCCCCCAAAAAAAAAAAAAAAAAAAAAAAAAACAGATACACACACACGAACAAAAACAAAGTGGTGTGGAAAAAAAGAAACGGAAAGAAAAGTCAACAAATGATAGGGAAAGGAAACAGGAGAAAAAGACAAGAAAAGAAGCCACCTGGACCATCTTGCACACCCTCCCTCAATCACTAGCATAGCAAATAAAAGGGATTTGTTATGACAATCAAAATATCTCTCTAAAGTTGAAAACAAAATAAAATTGCCAGAATGCTATTCCCAACTCAAGTCTTAAAATACTTCTGAAACCATCAAAGAAAAAACGAATTCCAAGCTTTGTATGACATTCAAAATAATTTATTGCAAGGACACATGTACAAAATACTGATCTGTATGTTGAACCTCACTCACCCGATGCCTGTAGCATCAAGATCACTTTTAATAAAACGATTCCAGAATAAGTTTACAAGGGCAACTTACTCAGCAATACATAGTGCTAACATGGGATTCCTGATCCTAGAACTACAATAGTATAATATGCACAATCAAATTCATATCATAATCACACTTTATTCCCATTTAAAATGCCCGGACGTGAGGAAGAGGAAGAATAAGGGTGGGCACAAATACCCTTTTTATACCGCAACTGCATTTTCTGTGATAGAGCCTCTTATATGTGTTACAAAAAGGGCGTACTGAGAGGGTTAAGGACTCTGGGTGGTATTCCGGTAGCGCATACTAAGTTAGTCCACACTTTTATGGAGTGCCTGTTTCCAACTCATTTACCCTGTACAGATTATTTTCATCCTTCAATGAAAAGTGTCCAAAAAATTAATTTTGCAATGAAATGGGAAGAAAAAGATAATATGAGTATGAACTGAATTTCAACAAAGTCCTTGGTAGATTATCTTTGTCATGAATATAGAGGGAGGAAGATGAAACCTAGCATTCCATAGATGTGTGAACTAAAATTCTTGTTTAGTCTGGACTTAGTCCCGGCTAAAGTTATGAGAAACGACCCTCTATCTTTACAGTGTCATAAGCTATATTGCAATTTTATTATCAACAGTCCCACATATTGAGATTTTCATTTGACCTGTCCATTGCTATTACTAGCATCTGTTACACTCCACAATTTGGGCAGTTCCATACATGATGGCTCATTGCTGTAGGTTGATGGGGAAGGTTCATTTAGATGTCTCCAATCAACATCAAGTGATAACTCCTACAGATCAATAGAATCAGCTTTGACATGTGTCCTCTTCAACTCCATCGACATAAGGCTTTGAGCTATATACAGGTCCTGCAATAAAAGAACAAGTAATAAAAGAAAATAATGAACTTGCTAAAATGGTACCGGCCATCTCAGAAATAATAATTAGTGTGCAGATAGAATGCATAAAATCACCCTCAAAAACCTTTACCATGTATTATCTAGGTTAAAATTTAAGGAGTATGAAGAAAATTAAGGATACATAGTTTAGCCCAAGATAGGCTTAATATGTTCAGTGCCTGCGCTACTCTATGCGAGCACATACAGTGGTGTTGACGTCCAAGGAATTTGGTCATTACCAGATATTGTGGTGTTATGCACAGAAAGGGACATAAATAGTGTCATTTAACTTCATATTTTTCTGACTCAACTTAAGGCCCATTAACTGAATAATATTATGAGATATATTGATCATTATTTGTAAGGCAGGTTTCATGCAACTTTCATTGAGCATTCCATGGCCAAATTCTTTGAGGGTGGCGGTTTAAAGTTGATTAAAAATAAGGTTAATGTGCACGTTAAACAACAAAACATTACATTGGTGAAATTTAGGTTCCATACAATGACCATTGTCTCAAATGGCTTTCCTTCTTGGGGATTATCACACTCAGGCCTAAAAAAGAAAGAATTTGTATTGCCCTCTAGATGCCAAAACATGGGTCAGTCGGTCAGAAAACTTTTTTTTTTTTTAACTTTGGAGTTGGGCTGACATTTTTCAGTTTTGAATGCTTTAATACATATTTTTGTATTCATTCAACATTTTTTCCTCTAAAAAATGTAAAAAACAAAACACTTTTTTTTAAAGCCGACCGCAGATTTCAAGATTTTGGGGTCGGTAACAAAGGGCAATACCACATTTTTTTTTTACGCCTCATTATCGTGCCGATTTGGCTTTTGCGATATATACATGTACCCTTGTATCTCGCTCAAGTCCATTTACTTAGATGTGTTACAGTAGGTAACATCTTAGACTAAAAAAGCATAAACTGGCCCACAGGTTCATATATGTACGATGATTTTATATCAAATAAGTTTGTATCTCGTTTATGCTAAGTATTTATTTCGGGATCATTCTCATCAAGCCAATTTTGGCTTTTATGATTTCCCCACTTCCTTTTATCTTATGTTGATCATGAACAAACATGTATACTTTTGATGTTTTTTAAAAGAGACAGAAATAATAAAATGAAATGTTTGTTTACCTATATTCTAAGTTGCTCTAACTAACATCAATCCTCATCATCAGGGGGAATTCCCAGCTCTTCATCGGTCCACTTTGATGGATCTGGATACTCAAAATGACCCTGAAAAATACAAGTTCAATTTAGCATAAATGGCAAATAGTTGCTATTTGAATGGTATAATTTAACGATATTGACACACACAAAAATGCATGCACTGTAGGGTACAAATAAAGAGTTGGGCAGAATGGGGATAACTTTAAAAAAAAAAAATCATTCTCATATATTTTGTATTCATTTTTAATATTTTCAAATCCAGCATAACGCTTTGTCATTCGCATTCTCCTGAAATTAAAATCGTTTTAATATAATGGTCCATGTAATCATGTGGGCAATCAGTAATACTTCAATCTTCAAGGAAATGGAAAGAATTATAATATACATCATACATGCACATGTATGTACATTGTATGCGGATGTATTTAAGCACACTTTCTCCAAGGGGGCAAAGGAAAAAAAAAAAAGGGGGGGGGGGGGGCTTTCCTGCCTGATAATTAAATTCTAATTTCAAAACTGGTGGACCTAATATATACAAGGAGACCTGCAAAATTAAGGTGTCATCAGGCTTTTACCTATAACCAACATGTACAAGGCTACAACAATTACGACATGACAAAAGATAACCAATTGAATATTCTGAAATATAGACAACATGTACTAAATGTAGTTATGACAATAAAGAAACATTAACGATCAACAAAATAATGTAGAATGTACAGAAATGTGAACAAGCAAAGACCAATTTGGATGAGTATAAAGTAAAGTGATTGGTAAAGGTACCAAAGATATTGAAGATAAAATTGAGGACTAGTCATGCAATTATAATATTGTGGAAAAAACTGTCTGGAAGCAATGGGGGGAAAAGTTGATTGTGTAGACCTACATGTTATGATGTATGCACACATATGGCATGAAAATTTTGTCCAAATCTTTTACTGGGTAAGCCATTTCTTATCACATATTGAATAGGAGGGTATTGACGAGCAAACCTTTTCAGGGGAAATTTTTCCTCTGATATTCTTCCAAAACTGACATAAAAAAAAGAATGACAGCTCATAAACTAGAATTTGTTACCGGTACCTTTCCTTGCACTCAACCATCTCACTAGGCATTTCTTCATCAGCTCGAAATCGCCAAATAGCCCGCTATTTCTGATTTGGGAAATAAGCCCGAAGTTACAAATTGCGACTTCATCAACTTGAGACTCAACGTCAAATCTTGAAATTCGAGCTCAAGAAATCTGCTCAAGATATTTTGCTCAGCGTTCGAGTCTTCAGCCCAAGATATCTTGGGATGATTATCTCAACCAAATATCCCTCTAAGTGCAACTGCCGGGCTGATGAAGATGCAAATTAGCTGGATAATTTGCGATCGGGATACTTAAAATAGCGGGTTATTTGGCAATCTCGAACTGATGAGGACAGGCCTGTTAAGAAACTTACGAAGACATCGGCAGGCTCGTGGTAAAATCTCCAGAGTATCCAGAACCACATGGCCGAGACGACGGCCATTCCTTGAATCTGTCTGGTCCTAGATGGAGCCATAGCGCCACGGTACACTGCACTACCACTGTATAAATGACAAATAAAAGGTAGTAGGAAACATCTTCTTCTGGATACAACTTTTTATAGTAAGGTATCTCCATGCCAGAGTTCTAGTTACGGGTCAAAGAGTGAACATGGTGAAAATCAAAGTATGGATATGATTCACAATTAGCAGTAGGGGCGCTGGTCTGACAATCGTCCTCATAAACGAGGATATCCTCATAAACGCAGACAAAGTGCGTCCTCAAAAATAAGGATCGTCTGCATTTTAGTGGACGTTTTTTTTCATCGGCGCTCTGCAGGTTTCGGGTTACTGAACCGCCCGCTGGCGATGCGAAAAATGGATTCTGCGTAAGAAAATAACCCTAGTTCACCGTCTACTTTTATGGGTTGTCCGTCTTCCCGAGGATTTATCACTCATAATGTGAAAGTCTCTGTACAAAGTCAATGTAAAATGCATCAAGAAAATCATTTTGGAATCAGTTTTTTGCATCACCAACGCCAATCAAAAATATGAAACGTCGATCTGCAAAAATGTGGACAATCTTTACTTTTGAGGACGCATTGGTCGTTTGGTCCACATTTATGAAGACGATCCTTATTCTCGGACTAGCGCCCCTAGACCCTACTAAAAAAAGATAAGAAAATTGACACGAAAGGGGTAAGATATAACGACTTTAGATATCATGTCCATTATTTGAACAAACGATGAAGATTATTTTTGTATGTTTTAGAAGGGCATATCCACGCTGGAGTTGCGGGTCAAAAATGGATACGAAACTAGAGTCTAGAGCCGCGCCAACTCTACACAAACGAGTCCGTCGTCCTCTACCATGTCTACAGCTACACACACTGTGATTGCATTCATTGACCATTTTACTAGTTGAATTTGAAAGCAAATTAAAGACCTTAGTAGTTACAGTTATAAACCGTTTACACAGTACTTACTTCCTCGAGGGTGCAGCTCTGTTGATTCCTGAGATCATACGCAAGCCGTGATTAATTCTGCTTAAACCAAACATTTTGGAGTCGGGAGGGAAAGGGTGAAAAAACTAGCAAAATACGAAGTATTCGTCCGAGATCTGCATGCACAATCTCCCCTACGCGTACGCGATCGGGAGAAGCTATGGTATCTTTGAGATTAAAAGTATTTCAGCCCGGGAGGAAAAATACACTGAGCTAGCTTAAAGTGGGCGGGACCAGACCCCCCCCCCCCCCCATACTCAGCGTTATTTAGGGTGGTACGCGTATGCGTTTTCCCTCCCTTTGAAAGCACCCCCCCTCCCCATCTCAGGCCTGCCAACATTTCTGAACCCCCCTTTCACTGACTTTTCCTGCCTTGGAGATCCCCCTAAATCCGGAAAACTGCTCCATTAATCCCCTATAGACCTATCTATGATATATATATTCAAGATATTTTATAACCCCCTTTTAAAATTTTCTCAGGAGTCCAAAGAGAGAGAGAGAGAGAAAAAAAACACCCCCTTTTTAAAGAAATCTCCGGGTGAAAAGTCAACTTTGTCGCGCGAAAAGTAACCCTTTACCGGAGATTATGGGAACCCGAATGCCCCGTTTAACCCCGGGGTGGGGGATGGGGGATGGGGGGGGGGGGGGAATAGTGGATTTAGAGGCACTTTAATTTGGGGGAATATGTAACCCTTTTGAAAGATTCTCCTCAAGCATTGGGTCATGCAAATGCCCAATTATGCGGTCATAGTGGGGGGGGGGGGGGGTGTCAGAAGTTCAGTTGCTGATACCAGTGGCGGATCCAAGGGGGGAGGGGGGCCGGGGGGCCCGGGCCCCCCCTCCCCTGTGAAAAAAAATGTGTAAAAACATGTGAGTTTTACCTTTTTGGGGGGATATAGGCCCCCACGATTTTCAAATTTTCAGAAGCAAAAAAAAAAAAAATGGGCCCCCTCCCCTAAGAAATCCTGGATCCGCGACTGGCTGATACAACTGCTCTTGAAGATGGGATGGGACCATAATTGCAACTATACAGACAGGCAGTAACGTCTCTAGCACAACACAACTTGCTCTAACCGAATACACCATAAGCTATATAGCCAACATTTATTTTCCTCGCTTCATAATCAAAGCTCCATACAAGTCAGCAGAAGAGCAGGCACGTAGCCAGAGTTAGTTTTTTTTTTTTTTTTTTTTTTTTTGGGGGGGGGGGGGGCACATACATGTAATCGACCGAGGTAAAAAATGGGGTCTAAAAATGTTTATCCGATCTTGAAAATTTTGGGGGGCACGTGCCCCCCCCCCATGCCCCCGTGGCCACGTGCCTGCAGAAGAGACCACACACTCAAACTCTATTTTCCTGAATACAATACTCAATAAAATATAGACTCAGTCATACAAGTTCCCATTCTGTCCCCGGATCGGACCACTCACATCTGGAATCAACTACCATGTCATATTGCAGTTACTGCCCCAACAGTTGCCTCTGCCAGGAGGGCATATCCTTTCTGTCATTAGATGATTGGAACCTCATTTAGGTTCCTATTCTTTTAAGTGCCTTTTACACTTCTAATGAACGCCCCTTTTCAGATGTGAGCTAGAAGAAGTGCTCCTTTTCAACTCTGATAAGTCCCCCGTTACTTTGATACGTGCCTCCTTATTCCCTCTAATAAATGCCCTTTTCCCTTCCGATAAGTGCCTTTTTTCCTTTCGTGGCAAGTGCCCTTTTCCTTTCTTATAAATGCTCCTTTTCCCCTCTGGTAAGTGCCCTTATTCAAATCTGATAGGTGGCCCATTTAATTTAAAAAGTGCCCCTTTTCCCATATGTGATGTCCCCTTCCTTTGTTTTTGAGGGCCTATCATACAATACCCAAAATTAAATTCTGAGTTGTGCTCCAAAGGAAGCGATTTTAGGCACAATAGAAATTAAGTAATTTTCAATTATACTATTTTTTAACAATTAGACCCATTTTTCAAGGTCAAGTACTTCTCAATTAAATGTAAAAATTGCCATTTGAGATTTGCATAGATTTGATTGAATTATCGTTTCAAAAATTCATAAACTTCTCATTATTTGTCCCAATTTCTTTCACACTTTTGTCATTTCTCCAATTTTCACCTTTCACACAGCACAAATGAACATAATAATTGTTAAGGTTGAATTGATACATTTCATTTAACTTATTTGGTCTTGCTTTCAATCGGCTAACTCCTTCAGTGGACTTTCCACTGCAGTGGGAAAATATGTCCTTTTCAAGAAGAAAGTGACATAACCTTTTATACCAAAACACACACATTCCACTAAAAAAAAAATGCTAGCCACAATGAAATGTAACAAAATAAACATGTTCAGGATACAATATATTCTATTTATTTCATTATTTCATTCTTTACAACATATTTGTTCTGTTTCCTATTTTAATAGGTTCTTTCACCTTTCCCCCCAAATACTAGCTGCCAAGTATAAAGTTGGAATGTTTTCATGATAAATGCCCTTTTTAATACAAAAACTCTATATGTATTTTGAAAGGGACAAGGTATAATATCACTATTCTCTGGGGTGCAATAATGTGTGAATAAAAGAAAAGGTATGGGCAATAAAATATGTTAGCATATCATGTGGAAATTCTTTGCGCGTATGAAACTTGGCGATGACAAGAAAATGGAAAATAGACCCGTTATACAGTTTTATTTTGCCTATTTCCCACTGACGAATACAAGACCTTGACTTCATTACAAATACTACATGTACATGTATTTCATCGATTCACCTTCGTGGTAGAGTGGAGCTGTACTTTTATTCAGATTGAAGTCCTAAGTGTATAAATCATACATCAAGTATCCTATGTTTATTCTCTTTTTTTTTCCATCAATTTTCTTTTGTTTTCTTTTGTTTACTTTTTTTATAACTTTTTTTTTTACTAGTGAACTTTTTCGAGGTGATAGCAGAGATCGTCTCAGGAAAATTTCCCAATGCGATCTCCCTATCAATGATGATGACGATGAAGACGATGATGACCGGGAGAAGAATTTCAAGAAATTTGAAATACTCCCCCCAAACAAAAAGTGGTAATTAGCTATGATATTTCAACAAATAAATGATTAATGGCTGCTAAAATATGTAATTGTCATACTTAATTAATAGAACAGTTGCAAATTGTTCACGGCAGAAGAAGACAAATTTCAGCAAGCACATCACATAATGTAGAAATATTAGCTTACTTCATGCAAATACATCTACAAAATATTCTTATATCACCATCAAAGATATTGTTACATGGCAATGGGATGGTACAATTTGTTTATCATAGCTAGTTAACACGACTGCATTAATTAAGAATATATTGTTTATGTAAGCATTCTCATAAGAATAAAATGCAGATGAGAATGATAAAAATGTAACAATATTAATCCAAAATATTCTCAGAACTGGCAATAAAAATTCATTTACAGAATTGGAGCCTAACAACTAACAAGCTTTGTCTATACTAAGTAACAGGTAGACACACCACATACCATTTATGAGGAAAGATCTAAAAAAAAAATAAATTGGACAGCATTTGATGTCACAACAGCAAAAACATATTTTATTTTTGAAATGGAAAACATGATTGCCAGTTCTGAGAATTGAAATATTTACAAATCTTTTTATCACAAAAAAGTCAAAATGAAGCAAAGAGAATGAGAGAACAGAAACAATAAGAAAGAGAGAGAGAGAGAGAGAGAGAGAGAGAGAGAGAGATGGAGAGAGAGAGAGAGAGGAAAATAGAGATGGAGAGATGGCAATCTCATGGGGCGTTCTGAAGAAAAAGGCCTATTGGTCAGGAGTTGTCGGACATTCATGATATAAGTCCCCATAAGTAACACCTCTCAGCTCTTCTCATGAAGTTTCTTTTGAAGACTGGTAACACGGTTGGGCAAACAAGAAGATTGTCTGGTCCAGATCTGTGACATTGAGATTAAAAGAGGTGAAAGAGAAAGAAAATTAATGGCAGCTCCTTTACAAATATAAGATTTTGTAACTTTTTGTGTCATTTGACCAGAATTTTATAAAAGAGAGAGAAAAATCAAGAAAAAAGAAGAAGATAAAGAGCCCCCCTCCTGACTACAATCAATCATCTGTGCATGAGAGTAGTATGTAGTAGTTTCAGATAAATCAGGTGTAAAGCTTTTCATTCAGTCGGAAACTGTTGGCTACTCAAAATATACAAATACCCCTAAATATTTTTTTCTTCTCTTCATGCTAATACAAGCTTAATCAAATGCAATTCTTTTATTGGTTACTTTCTTCATAAAATATCCAATATCTTAATAATTTATGATCTGTTTACTTTATGGAGTGATTACAATTCAAATGTCAATTTCCAGACATTTGTCAAAACATCTTTTCATGGAGTCTTTACACAGACTTTACAAAGTAGCAATCCTTTATCCACCATTAATCATACTTAAAACATATTTGGCTGTACAATACTCACCTAAAACTACAGAAGGACGAAAAACAAAACAAGACTTGTGGATGCTATACGTAGATGCCGACCCATAAAAGCAAGAAAAGGACTCCAAATCCCATAAAAAGACTGGCAACTAAAGCTACTAGCAGCTCCTTGTAGAGATCCCTTGTGTATTTTGTAGCTGTGACTTCATAGCTGATTAATTCAAGTCAAGGTCAAACGTCATACATATTGTAGAAAGTCTAGAAACATACCAGCACAAAAAAAAAAAATACATGGGAGCGTGAGAGAAATAGCTCTTGATAAATTGATAGCTCTTAAAGATAAAGTTGAGTACTGGTCATGCACTGCATTGTGAAAGAAACGGTGTTGAATCGATCAGAAAAGGTTGATCATCTAGCATGTAAGTATTCTTGTGTATTGCAAGGTTCTGGAATCATCAAGGTGATAAGAAATTTGGCCAAGTCTTGGTAAAGTTACAAGCACTGTACACAGAAGGATGTATATGGGACTACACGAACACGTGACATAAAAATCTATCCCGATTTTTACGACGTTACATACCATATTTAGAATATGAGGGCATTTTAAGAGCCATGCTTTTCAGGGAACAAGTTTTATCTGATGTTCTTCCACCCTTGCATATAAATAACAATGATAACGATCAAAAATTATTTTTCACCTTTTCCCAGAACTCAACCTTCTCTTTAAAGGGATCCAGTAACTTTGTCTTAGATCCTTTAGAAATAATCCTTGACTTAGCTCATGCTGCAATGATAATTATAAACCTTAAGGTCAGTCAGGAACTCCATGGCTTTTACAAGCCGATCTGATTATCAAGATATTAATGATTGGAATTACAAATTTTGAAAACCGTTCGCTGATCGGTTTTCATAACACTACAGTGTATTGGGGGAAAACGAGTATGGTAAAACCGGTCACTCAAAGATTTTACAATTTATTGAGGCACTTCTTGATCATTTTGAAGCACAATTTTTTTTTAGGGCTTGAATATTACACCATATCACAGACACTGGTAACATGTAGGACCGTGTATCTTAGATTTAACATTGTTAAACGATCCCTTTAAGTGCTCTGTTAAACTGAAGGGGGAGAAAGGGCTTTGGTAAACAAAAATATATACATGTGTTTACTTTTTTATCACTGTGAGAGAATTGCACTTATTGAACGCCACATCCTAAAAGAGAGAAAAGTGTTTTTTTCACATTAACAAAATTCAATTACATTTTAAGCAGTTGCTATGTCAGAAATCCCGAAGCTACACCATAAAAATAAAGGTTTCAATGGGCTATAATATGAAAACATGCAATGCTCTAATGCAATAAGGCACTCAGTTGATGGGAAGGGACATACCAATGTCTTTGATCATCTAGCTGACTGATGAATGACTGGCATGATGATGCCACAGAAGTCTACTGCTTTTGGAGGGTTTTTTTTAGGGGTGGAGCTTAGCAGGTAGAACCAAAGTAATAGACAAAATAATATAAAATATATGACTTATATGTACATCAAAAGTAAAAAGAAATGTGATGTATATATTATTACAAATCAACAAAAGTCAACATGAATTTGTAATTTAGTCACCCTTTAACCATTGTGCTTCTCTCATTTTTCTGTTCTCTATTAATTAGATTAGTTTGTTATTAAGGTTGGATTTCTCTTTAAAAGTTTCACACCTTTACAGATGTGTGTGAAAGGATACACAAGGAACCATGCCATGAAGAAGATCCCTATGGTCAAGAGGATGAGGGTGAGATGAGGATAGACAGCCGGGTTAACCGGACTGACGTACCGCGTCATCGACTCAATGGCTGCCGACTGGATAAGAGATAAAATGAGAAAAAAGATAATTAATAAAGTTGTGTTAATAATTTTTATCGCCATACCTTATACCTCCACTTCTCGCATATCGTCGGCTGTATGTACAGCTGTAAGCAGCTGCCATACATACACACGGTTAGAAAAAGGATTGCATTGTCCTGAAAAAAGCAATTTCCAAGATCGGTTGAACTTTTTTAGACCCCTTTTTTTTACCTCGAACCATGTACATGTATGTGCCCAAACATTGAACTCTGGCTACGTGACAGGGAAAAATGCCTAAAATTTGACCAAATGAGTTCAATAATGAATTTGGACTAGTTATTCTACATCAATGATGATCATGAAGAAAGATGACGTCCGGCGTCATCCATTGACAGTAACAGGTAACAGTTTAAAATACAGCTGAAAGAATTTCAATACGGAGTTAAATTTCAACAATGAAAATCAGGAAAACAGACCCTTAAATGCATCATACAGTCAATCGATCTGGTAAGTGGAACCGATGTATATTAGCCTACGCCTGATTTTCGAGAATAAATACGTCATTATATGATTCCGCTAAAATATTGATAAAACCTATTTTAATTTTAAGTCCAGAGTCTCAGTTTGGTGGCACTTTTGATTTGTTTTGTTTTGGTGGCATGATTGTGCCACCAATTTCTGACAGCAGACCCTATAGCTGGCTTCTGTCTCGATTCTAAAGAGAGGAGCAGACCCTACCCAAATAAGAGGCTAAGGGAAGAGACAGACATTTTCGGTCTAGTTTCGAAGTTCGAACTTGCAGCCATTCAGCTCAGCGATTCACACATTTACCTTAGTCCCACATACCCATCATTTTGTTGGAAGAACTTGATTGCAACACTATAAAACACAATTTTATGACGTTTTGAAACAAATACACTACACTCTATCTTCGTACAGAAATTAATGTTCATACAATCCCATAATTATGTCTGAAATTGAATTAAATTCGTGATAAATGTTAAATTATTCATTTTTTAAAATAAATAGTACACACTGCCATGCCACGTATGCATCACACACTGCACTGACACAGCACTTCCGGTTGCAAACCTGGCTGAACACTCGATTTCAGGAAAAGAATATACAAAAAATGAAGAAAAACTTGAACGAAAAGGTCTATTATATTCGAGGCCGGTATATCATCAAACCAATACTTCAAAGAATTTAACACATTAAATTTCGCTTACCATGATTACTTTCTGGCGAATCACGAGGATGCACGAAAAACACGACAAGGGATATGATCCGAAGCGAAGAGAGCTTGCCCAGGCCGAGGAGGTCAACAATAGTATAACGTGACCTCAATAATAATTGAATTGGATTAGTACATTATTTTGAAGGGGTGTTTGAACCATAGAATAATAGACTTAGTTCTTTTTTTGAAATATTTCTTACCCATTAATCCATATAAAATTAGAAAAAGTACTAGAAGCTTTGTAACCAAATAAAACCATTTATAAATTTGATTATCCTCATGTCTACTTTATGTTTAATTTAATTCCTATTTTCAGATCAATCATTCTTTCCTAGATTGAAAGTTGAACAAGCATGCAAGGTAGTCATGGGGGAGGCTGTATACAAATTGACAGAAGAAGAACTACGTACGAGTACATGGCATCTTTTCATAGGATAATCGATAAAGTCTAAAGAGGATAAGTTAGTCTTTAAATCGGAGGATAAGTGAATAGGCTGGTAATTTTTGTTGTCGTTGTTGGCGTTCACTCGTTCAGAATATTTGCCTCTACTCTAAGTTAGAGACTATAGTAAAACTAAGACTTAAGATTTAAACGGTTTAACTTAGACCTAGCCTGCATGGGCACTGATGATATGGGCCTGGGCTAGAAAAAAGAAGCGGAGGGACAACAACAGAGAGCTAGAGAGAGAGAGAGAGAGAGAGATGAAGACTGGCTACATAGCTACAGTACAGCCAGTAGATAGAGGCTAAGTCAAACTCAAAGTGCAATATCCAGCCAGATTCCAGGTGCAGGATGGCTACACAAACAGCTACAGTTTTTAGTACTCTGGCCCATGGATGTGGCTCCTGGGATGGTGATTTGCAGAAAGAACTTGATGATGGAATTGGAAATAAGGTGAGCTATTAGTTACTCAACAAGTTTTATGCCAGGGCGCTAGTTTAGAAGTCTATCCAAACTTTGACCCACCCTAGATCTACTAAAACATACCCAAAATGAAGTAAATATTCATCAAATGTCAAAATAAAAAAAAGAAGGTCATAATGTAAAATTTGATATGTTTGTTACCTGTTTCATCATTTCATGTCAATTTTCTTATCTTTTTTGGAGTATTTTTCCTAAAAACAAAGACTTATAATATAAATCTATGCACTTTCTAACGGGATTCACGGCAAACTGCAGCACAATACAATTGCATACCCTACCGACGGTGGGGTGCGGGCGCGTGTGTGTTCAGTTAGTGACCGTAAACTTAGATTACAGTTTTCATTATTTCACGTTACTTTCAGTTTCAAAGTAATTGCTTGTACATGTATGAAGGGGTGACCAAAGTTCGCGCAGATTTTAGAACAAATTAGAAAATGTGATATTCGATCCATGTTTTCTCATATTCTACACAAATCTATTTATTTTAATTACTACCAAATGGACGGCAAAGTATTTTACTACCAATTGGTTCAACTACAACATTTATCGTCGAAGGATTTCGGAGATATCGCGATCTAAAAATTCGATGTCCGATCGTGCATGCGCGCTGCATCTAAAAAAGTCATAAAAACAACGAGACCTAAGTTCACGCACGGGGGTTTACAGCTGATTTATACAAAAATACGATCCATCAAAAATAAGGTAATTTCATAATTTGCAAGGCAAAATATCATACAACCAGACGGTACCACTTATTACTTACAATTTTGAGGATATCTGCTCTCAAAATGAAGATTTCCAGACCCTTATCGGTAAGTTGGTAATTTTTCGGAACGGACGCAAATAACTGCAAAATGTGCCGATCTTTTGTCAATATTTTCACAATTTCGCACCCAATTCCAAAGAAAATTTCGTTTCTGGGTAATTTCATGATCCTCTTTCCATTGGTGATATCAGATTTTCGAAATCTTACCGATTTTTTGAGAAAGCGAACTTTGGTCACGCGCGAACTTTGGTCACACAGCCATACATAGGTCTATATTCTTTTTTTCCCCACAGTCCAAGCTGCTGCCGAACAGATCAAATCTAGACGGTGAGTCGGATGATCATCTGGAGAAACGGGTGCACATTCCAATCCGCATCAAGTCCCAACTCTCTCAGATCAAGAGCATTCTTCGCGAGGCATCCAAGAGATACCCTGAACACTCCAAGGCAGCAGAACAAAGCTTGGCTGACATCATCAAACAGAAGACTGAAGGCACAGAGTATTCTCATCCGCATGGCTTGATGAAGTCTCGCCCTCGGACAGGTGTTATCCGTGCCCACAAACAGCAGCACCGACCCGGCCTGGGGGTGGGGATCAGGCCCCATCGGTTTCATCAGCGAGCAAAGAGTGCTCCATCGTCTCGCCCTTCGTCCCAGAGTCAGATCCTGTCGAAGAAGAAAAGTTCAGCGTTGCCAAAAACCCTGACGACCAGGAAGGGCGCCCTTATGATCTTCACATCGCCCAAGAATGTAGCGTACTCGGTACCGGAGCAGAAGTGTTATTATGTTGATCCTGAGGCTGTGAACTTGGACGAGTGGGCAACCAATCTACGGTCTTTCAAAAGATTAACTAATAGTGTCATGCAATATGGCTCTGAGGTAAATACAAGCATCAACACTATTAAAGTTTGTGTGATAAAGATTGTAATTGGTTTAAATCAATCAAAAGTTCCCAAATGATTATCAGTCAACATACTAATATAAGGATAATAGCAGGTGAATGAAATGCTTCATCACCACACACACCTGGGAATGGAGCATCCATAAATTTTAGCACATTTACTTGATAAACGACTTCACATACATGTAGAACGTCAATTTTTCAAGAAAATGGCGATGCCCATGCATGTCATGCTGAGAAACTGTACATTACTTTTGCTTTATGCTCCTTTCATAAACTTTGGTGGGAAATCTTGTAAATTAATGGCAATAATAAAAGAAATCGTAGAATAAGTGAATTAGTTATTCCTTGGGTTGAGGTTTCCTCTAATATGTATATATGTTATGTTTTTTTTTCATTTGTAGGAATATATATACCGTATTTGCCGGCGATAAGGCCGCACCGCCGCATAGGCCGCACCCCCAACTTTGACATTTCAAAGAGGAAAAAAAAAAAAAAAAAGGAAAAAAAAAACAAACGGACAAAACAAAATAATCATAATTTTCTCGAAAACACTATTTTTTTTTTTACAAACTGATACCAAATTCATCCATATTCTTATAATTTACCGGAAGTTTAGCTAAAAAAGTGATCGCAGGCAGATTTGGTGTCCAATATACCCCTACCACAATGTACGGTGTAATGCGAAACTGCATGAAATGGAAAAACAAAATGGCGACTTCGGATGGATGTTCGCGGCAGCTCCGTTAGACTGTCCCTTCCTTTACCTTTGCAATGCATTTGCACGAACTTAGATCAAGATCTATCGGCAAATGTTGTGTTAGGACGTTTATTTTCGTCTTCATGTCAACAATGCAAGATAAAATTGTCGGTAAGATGTTTGGAAATGTCCTGTACTGTATTGTTATTTTACCGTTTCTAGTCCCATACGTGCAAAATCGTGTTGGTTTTGACTTTCGTTTTTTAAATTTTTTTTTACTCTTTTGTCGTAAAGGCCACACCCCTACTTTTTGATATTTTCTCTTCCAAAAATACTATGGCCTTTGCCGCCAAATACGGTACATGTATATATTGAATGACCCCATTATTTGTTACCCCACATAATATAGAACATTAAATGTAATGGTACATTTGTGAACTATCGATATCACATTACATGTTATCCAGTGCTCACACTACATGTAGATCCATCAACTGACCCCAAATGTAAACCCCTGAGTCATGATCTCCCAATGAAAAGTATATACTGAAAAAGGCATTAATTTGATTTTGTTCATAAGTGTAGATGTACTTTTTATTCTACCAGCCTAAGTCATAACAAATGTAGATTACTGAACTACTAAATGAGTATACATACGTTAGACCCTTACTCATATTTCACTCTTTTTGTTGTTTCAGATTGGAGATGATATTGAGTCTCTGGCCTCGGACTACGACACGTCTTGCTTCAAGTTTCAACGGCAAGAAGATGATGATGTTGGTGTGGATTATAGGATTCAACCCGGTGGTGACTTTGTCTTCTACCTCAAAGACTTGAAGACCAAAGCAGCGTAAGTCAAGCACAATCTTTCATGGTCTCACTCTCTCTCTCTCTCCTTATCTCTCTCTAACTCTCTCTGTCTCTCTCTCTCTCTCATCTCTCTCTAACTCTCTGTGTCTGTCTCTCTCTCTCTCTGTGTGTGTCTCTCTCTGTGTCTCTCTCTCTGTGTGTCTCTCTCTCTGTATCTCTCTCTCTCTCTCTGTCTCTCCCTCTTCCCCCTCTCTCTCTCTCCCTCTCCCTCTCCCTCTCTTTCTCTCTGTCTGTCTCTCTCCCTCCCTCCCCCTCTCTCTCTCTCTCTCTGTGTCCCATTTCCCCTCTATGTTTCACATTCTTTTGTTAACTGTCCCAAAATATAAGTAATATGAAAAACAATAAGAAATTAACCCACACAGGACTGGGAAGAAATATCTTTAAAGGCAAGGCAAGGCAAAGAAAAGCAACCAAAAAAATAAAAGGGGGGGGGGGGCATGTACAGTGCACAAGTAGTATGACAGATATATTTATGAGCAGCATTTGGTCGCATGTTTGCTTCTCTGGTCGGGCAGCTAAAAATTTGAACACCAAGCAATTTCTGTGCAAATTATACATATCGTAGCTGAAGTCAAGTGCTCAGAATATTCTTTTAGTTGAGCAGGACTTTTATATTGTACAATTTTAAAGTACAATAAAAAGTTAGATTGTACTTTAAATTTTAGTACAATAAAAAGTTCTGCTAAACTAAAAAAATATTAAAGTTTAAATCTTCTTAAAGTTACCTTTTTTTAATGTTTTTGCTAGTGTAAGGAACGTTGTATCATCCCTGTCGTATGGCTCTACACCGGTCCTATATGAGGAAGAGGAAGGAGAAGATGTGCATCAAAGACTTGATGAGGATGAGACTGACACATGGCCACAGGAGGATGACAGCGTGCCGCCCAAGATGGAATTCCTACATCCAGTTGGAACAGAGCCAAGAAACCGAGCATGGGGGAGTCGGGCAGAAACGGAGAGCTTGAGCAATGGTGATGCTCTACCGCAGAGCAAGACTGAGCAAGGCAATGGTGGAGAAAGTAATCTACGATTTGCTACAAGGAGTTCCACTGCACAATCTGTGATGGCCAGACCTGATACTGCAAGGTAAATGTTTATGAAGATCTTCAGATTAATTGTTTGCTTTTTTAGGACATTCAAAGTCCTGGCAAGAGGCACACTAATTCACAGATGCTTTTTTAGGCCATTTGCAGATGCTTTATTATGATTTTCCTTTTTTAAGATATGGACAAGTTGCAAGAAAAATAATAAAACGATTCCTTAATATCTTCTGCAGGAGGAGAATCGGCTAATTTTTTTTTACCAAAAACATAGGGTAACCCTAATGATTTAGACTATCACCAGGAATTCACATGAACATCATTTCAGGTACAATTTATAGTGTACAATAACTGTACATGTATGTATGCAAGTGATGCAGGCTTCAAGCTGCATGTAGAGATTGAGTTCAGTGGGATCTGTTTGAGAAGTAAGAGTATAAAGATGAAATCTTTTACTCTGTGATAGATTGTGAGAAGACTTCATGCAGAAGCTTGCATGCAGCAATAAACATTGCCAAACATTTCTTTGTTTAACCTTAGGTAAGATTCACAAGTGCAGTTGCTCTGATTGAGAACATCAAAATCATCTGATCATAGGAATGCACACTGAGACGGTCTTCTACATTCCGTAAATAACCAATAATGTGAGCGATGACTTGCTGATGATTGATGCATTTGCTGATAGATCATATACACTGTATGCATTAGTCGCAAATATATATATCAACGTATAAAATTATACCCCTCATAGACTGGCGAGTCCAACCCATTGTAAGGCCCCTACATTTATCAGCTCAGGTGACCGTAAGGTTAATAGCAGAAAGCCTTGTTCTCTATGTATTCAATTCAATCTGCAAATGGATTGGACTTGCCCTTTCTTTATATTGTTCATGTACATGTAGTCAATTGTGCTGCCAGTTATCAAAACTAATCAGATAATCATTCTTGACAGGTCAACCAGATCAGTTACAAGCCTCAGGTCAGGCACGCCTCTGTCTCTCAGAGATCTCACAGCATCTTTGAAATCTGGTGGATACCTCGGCCGACCAGTGAGTGCCCCTTTCCCACCATACTCCCCACATCCGCGAACAGCATCACTGCCAACGGAAGAAGAGGAGGAGACGGAGGAAGATGAGGAGGAGGAAGAGGAGGAAGAGGCTGCTTCCGTGATGTCACACTCGCGGCAATCATCCAGACCTCGTTCGAGCAGACCAAGCTCCAGGAGGACACAGGGCAGCGCAGAACCTGCGGAAGATGCCATTGATGGGAGGAGCTCGAGGGGTACCAGGAGTAGGAAGTCATCCGCAGGGATGCGATCCAGGCATGGGATGGAGGATGATGGTGTAGGTGAAGGGGAGGATGATGATTGGCAGTCTGAAGATCTTGCCGAGTTAGGGGTCGATGACCTGGAGCCTGATACTGCCTTACCTCTACAGGTATGCTTCGGTAACAGTGTGGAACCATCAAGAAAGGGGTAGAAATAACGAAAATAATGTGAGATAGCAGAGAGAAAGGGAGAAAGAAATGATGAAATGTGAGAGAGAGATACATAGATAAAGAAAGAAAGAGAGAGTGAGAGATAATGTAGTGGCAAGGAACATAAATGTATTTGTGAGGTCTGATGTGCATGTAAATGTAATTTTTAATTTGTTTATGTCTCCTTACAAAATAAAATTATGCATTCACATGTAAGGTACTATATTGTTACAAATAATTTAATTGCTGTCAATTTTTCAACTTGCCCTTATTTCAAATTTAATGTGACATACCATATTTGCTTGTATTGTTAAACAAAGATATTACTTTGTATAAATCATTGATGTAGATCAAAACCGTAAATAAAAAAACTTAACCCAAAGTAAGGGCACTAACAAAAATATTCACTCATTTTGTTTTTCTGTATTTTCTTGTTTTGCCTAGGTTGATGATATTGGTGGAGATATTGATGTAGGTGGGCAAGTCTTTGCACAGGCTGCTGATCCTAGGAGCCAATCAAGAGCATCCTCTATCCCGCCCAGGATGTACACCCCCCAGACCAGGTCCTCCCTGAGATCTACCCCACCCCCTGAAGGTGACCAGTGGCCAGGGTTGGGGGGCATCGGAGGGGAGGGAGAGGCGGTGCTAGCAAGGAGTAGGCCATCCTCTGGTGTAGCACGAACAAGCTCGGCCAAATCTAGACAGGTATGTGTCTTTATTGTTTCCTCTTTTCCTCTCCCTCGATACCTTACTCTCTCTCTCATACCTTCATCTAGTTCTTAATTATATAATTATTGGTAAACTTCAGACCGTTGTGATTCTACAAGTAGTTTATCTAATGGGGTTTCTTATCAAGTTATTGTGGAAGACATAAACTGTAAGCATTTATACATCATTTCTGAATTATATGATAACATTTAATTCTATGCACTATATGGAAGGATTAAAAAATATGACTTGAAGCTTTCTAACTAATTTTGTCTTTGATTTTAATTTTGAAATATTTACATTTTTGACAGCTGTTGATATCTAGTCACAGGGTATGATTATTGTTATTCTTAATGGCCAAGTCCATTGCTCAAATCTTTCTGTTTATAATTCTTGCAATATAAGATTTATTAATGAAGCATTTTTCTGAAAGAGATAATTATTTTTGAAGAACGATCAAGATGACAATATTGAATGGATAGGTAGGGCATATGAACATTATTACTTTGGAGGAGTATCTTTTTCTGCTTTTTGGTGTACAAGATATAAATTTGCTACTCTTAACACAGGTGGGTATCCAGTAGAATGCAAGAGTCATTGCAATTTGCTCAACATTGTGAGGCTCTAACATGCTCCCTGGGGAGTGAAGAATGTGCATACATTGTGTACAGGCAAGCCTGAATCCGATTAACCCAAGTAATAATATATGATCTGTAAAGCGCTTGTATGCCTCAGCCACACCTTTGCGTTTTGCTGCGTATTTATGGCAAGCCGTTTTAACATTTAAATTCTCATTTCTTGATATCAAGAAATGATTTTCTCTTGTAATGCAATGATAATTTTTATATCAAGAATTTAATTTCTTGATATATAAGAAATAGGAATAAATGTTAAAATGGCTTGCCATAAATACACAGCAATACGCAAGCCAAATACGCAAAGGTATGAAAGAGGCATTAGAGACATCGTCGATGTAGGAGTAGGTGCCATATAAACCCAGGATATTGTTCTTGTTATAGTCGAGCCGTAGCAGACCTGGTACCTCAGGTTCAGCCAGGTCTACTGGCCTAGGAGAAGATAACATTCAGGAGGAGATAACGGGTCCTAGTCCTACAGAAGGATTGCAACAACATCCTGCTCAGCATGGACAAGGTAACCGATCCTAAAGTCTCAAGTAATTATAATGATAGGACAAGTCTGTGGTATTTGATCATTTGGTGTAAAGAACACAAATCTCTATCTCCTCCTGTTTCAGAGGTTGATTGCAACATCTTCTGCCATTCTGGTGCACTCTTGCAGTTTTAGTCCACTCCAGCTCTTGACATTCTGTTCCCAGTTGATTCTGGGTCTCGATCCTCTCGGTCTAGTGGGAAGAATGCGAATCTACATTTGAAAAAAAAATCATTATATAACTTTTCTGTTCCAAGCTCTTGTAGGGCTTGGTAATTGATAAAATCATCTGATATAAAACTGTAATTGTGGTCATTAAAGTATGGAAAATATAGCTTGGAATGGAATGGAAATACTGTGCGAGTCAAAAAAAAGTTTACACCTAGAAAATTGCTAATTATTTTTAAAATCATCTATGAACAGTAAATTATTATACATCTTATGAAAGACTGTTTTATCCCAAATCATTTGGTATCATTTTTGTGTGGTATGTGTTCACGCTTGGATGAACGGAAGGTATTGTTTGCGAGAGTGCAAAAATCGACTTGCGCCAAAGTGATGCCTACAGTATGTATTATGTTGGGATTAGCGGAGAATGAATTGAATGTATCACATGAAATGCATTGCATATGCTTTTTGTAGAAGCAAAGTCACATACGCACACTCACACGCACACACATTGATATTCGATATTTGATATGTGTGGCATGATAAGGGATATAATTTGGATCTGCAAAAACCAATTTCATACCCAAATCCCAACTATTTTATTTAAACATCACATACCGGAAAGCATCTTTGGCGCAAGTCGATTTTTGCTTGTGGGAAGAGAATAGCATTTTCCTACCTTGAATAAATGAAGCAAGTAACTTGTTGAGTACGTAGCACAGTTTTCATCCGAAACTGACAAAACAAATTTGTAATCTAAAATATAATCTCTGTTTTCATTTTCTAGGTGATGGAGACACTTTGCAACTTTTTGGTGAAGGAGTTGGTATAGTCCAAGAATCTGGTGAGAGCCATTTGCATTTACAGCTATACCATACATGAGATATGAGAGTGTGTCTCATATTTTGTCAGGTGCCGACATGGCCAAAGCATGAGCATCCACATATGAAGAGTTTGATTCCAAAAGGAGCTAAATCCATTTGTGTACCTTCAGAGAAAAAAGGATTGGTTTACCAGATTTTGTACTTGCGTTTATGGAAAAGTGATATTAGAAGGTCCATTTTTTCATAATTGCTCCCAAATTTAGGTAGATACTTTTGTTGAAAGATGGGTACTTAAGTGAACAATGTTCTGAAATCAATAACTCAATTTTCATCAAAAGTGGATTTAGCTCCTTTTGGAATTATATATAAACTCTTCATATTTTATACATTATACTTTTCAAGTATTTTGTTACAATGAGTTGCAACATCCATTGTTGGCTTTGCTCATTGAGTTTGTTATTATGCATGGTACATTTCACATTTCCTATCTTTTTTTGTTTAATCCTCAAGCCCTTCTTTGAATTACATACATTGAAATCTGCTGGTAACATTGATAGTTGTACTCCTTTCGACTGGCAGCTACATGTAAACAGTTTTCTACTTCATTTATTTTTTAATATGACAAAGTTTTTGACAATCGTCCTATTTGATGGAAAAGTGTTTTTAATGGCTTCCAAATCACTTTGATTTATGTACTGTTGATATTTTTTATGGTCAACAATTCATGTCAAATCACCATTTGTTGTTACTCTTTATTAGTTGAACCATTCTTACCCTCATTAGTGGTAGCTTTTTTGGACAAACCTTTGGCAAGTTACTATGACAACAAAATCACTCCGTCACAAACTGTGTATAAGATAGTAAACCATTAGTAAAGATGTCAATAATCTAAAATTTTGTCTTCACTTTATATTTTGTGTTACTTTTCTTGCCTCACCTTCACCTACAGAGGAGAACACCAAGCCCTCATCCGTCCCGTCGCGCCCTTCAACCAGTCACAGCCCTGCCCCGCCTCAACCCCTCATAGAAGACTCCCCCAAGCCCCCTACCCCAAAGCCTATGATCATCACCCCCAAGGTTGCCCCTCCGGTCGTACTCCACACCCCTACCCCACCCTCGGTCAGAGTGAAGTCTGCTGTAGGGAAGGTCAAGGTTGAAACAAAGACTGAGGAGAAGAAAATGGCTAAGGTTGACTTGAGTGGATTGCAGAGCATGGTCTCCAAGAAACCGGCAGGATCATCCATTCCTAAGGTAGAAGGTTGGATCTTTTTTTTAGTATAGAAAATGTAGATACTTCGTTATCAGGGATCAAGATCAAAATAATATATGCCGAGACCAGATCATCTGAATATGTGATGTATACATATATCATTCAAAAGAAGTGAAATGTTACAAATCTTAAAGTTTGCTTCCAATTTACAATGCGGTGCGAGAAATAACGACTATCCTAAACATTGTAGGTAAATTAATGATGTTTTGACACATCATCTTGATCAGTGTTTTGGTGTATACTCTCATCACTATTGACTGCATTTTTTTTCATCTCTCAATTACTTATCTTTTCACTCTGAAAATGAAGGAATTTGCAGGAGCTTAGGTTATTAAATTGTTGTTTGGTATATTGTATGAAATAAAATTAAAAGAAAATTAATTTCCAAACATTTCTCTTTTGATAATTCATAAAACACTTCCTTAGCACTTAGTTGTAATATAAAGAAGGCAAATTTGACTAAATCTTATTTAATGCATATTGATTTTCATCTAGCCTGAGAAGAGAAGTTCAAGCCCCAAGGCCAAGAAAGGAAGACGAGGGAAGAAGGGCGGTGGTTCAAGCCCCAGCAGGAAGTTTCAGGGTGTAGACTTCGTGGACAATCCCCGGGGTAGTGCATATGATGGACCCTCAGAAGATGAGATAGCTAAAATGATTCAGCAAGAGGTAAGAGTCGGATTATTCCATTATTTCATTTCATTTATTCTTTTTTCGCCATAATACGGCACATCTAAACAATACAATAATATAGTATAGACGTATATTCATACAAGAAACAAAAGTAATGCAGTAAAGATTACAACAAGAAAAAATGGCAAGCACATCTGAAAATACACAGAGCAAAGGTCAAAGAGCAAAGAACAACATTATACTGGCTTAGTTCTCATCTAAGCAATGGAATAAAAGTTTTTTAATTATCGCCACCAATACCCCCAAATGCCTGGATGTTACTTTCATGTCCCCATTTTAAATGTACTCTGGGAATGCTTGGTGGCTAATTGGTCGGCCAGTAGTTGAGTCACTGAGCTAGCTGTCTATATACGCATTGCAATTCTGGTAGATGAAAGGTGCTACCTTTCACTTCGTCTTCGGTTTCTTTGATAGTATATCATAAGCAAAAGATTTGACATTGTTTGATATTATTTTCTGGTCTTCTACGTACCAGCTCGCTGAGCAACTAGCTGAAGCTAACATCAATCTAGATGCTGAGGAGGAACCAAAGGAAGAAGAAAGAGGTAAATATTGAAATGCGGGAATAGATAGATGATAGACTACTACAGTTAATCATCTTAAGAGAGACAAGAAAATTATTTTGGTATAGGTAGGTGGTCATTATGTATCTAGGGTCCTTGAATACATATAATGCAAATCACTATTCAAGAGAGGGAAAATATGGTCTTTATAGAGAGGTGGTCTTTTAGTACAGCTGGGCCCCGGCCCTCTTGTAAACATTTGCAATTAATTGATATCAATCGCAACAATGTACTCTACATAGGAGTTGGAACTTTAAACTTAATTGCGATTGATTTGAGGTTGTGTGATTGGTTCGGATTAATCATAACTCTTTATAAGACGACTAGAGCCCTGATTGCTAAAGCAGGGGCCTGTTTCACAATTAAGACTAAGATTTACTTTCAGTTGGACTATGGCAGGCCAATCATGCCACTAGTTCCTTTAACCATTCCTGGCATTGGTTTCTCAAGGGACGTTTAAATCGTGGTCACAAATCTACAAATTTTACATTTTTTGAGAGACCAATATTTAGAGCAACCAGTGGCTATTTTTTTAGAATTTTTTTTTTTTTAGTGATCACTATCACCCCTGAATGTATCAATAGATTTGTGATTACTTGGAGGATTTATACTTAGATGCATGGACATACATTATTCATTGTGTACCATACTAAAGTTTATTGGAGGTAAAGGCCCGGTCCCACTGCACTTACGGATGCAAAGAGGATGTAAAACGTAAACAAATCTTGCCATCCGTTGGAAAACGCTATGCATTCGTTCTGTACTCTTTGCATACTTGTTTCATACGCTCTATCCGTCGAGCATCCGTCCACTGTGATTTCATCCGCGCAAAAGGTTTTGAGCTGCACAAAACTTTTAGAACGGATGAACTTCCGCCGTGTACGATGTAAATCCGCGACAAATACGAGCAACAAACGTTCTATGTCCGTTATCATCCGTTAAACGTCCGCTGTATCCTCTCTCCATCCTCTGGGCATCCTCGCAACTCACATCCGCTGCAGCTGAAAACGGAAAAAGGGAGGAAAGATAAGGTACATGGAACGTCTATACATCGTTAGTAGCACGGAAATAGAAAGGATGTAAGCGTATGCATCACGTATATAAAGTATTCAAAGCTGTCATCCACTTCCATCCGCTTTCATCCGCTAGGCTTCCGATGAACATCCGTTTAAAATCCCCGCTACATACTAACCACGTCCATTATTTTCCGTTCTGTTTTCGCAAATTTTGTCCATTTCTGGAGCGGATGAAAACGGATGGAGCCACCCCCGAAATTTTGCTCGTCCGCTGTGTCCTTTATTCATACGTTTTGTGTCCGTCGGCCAGTGGGACCGGGCCATAACAAATCATCAAATTACGGGACATGCATACAACATGGATGATCTAACAGTATGCATTTGATATTTGCTTGAAAATAACTTGGAAACAACGTGATACAGTTTTTCATTTAACTATAATTCTTCTTCTCCTTACTTGCTCTTCATTAGATCCCAACGACACTGATCGCTTGTCTGTTGCTACGGACGACGAGGCGATTGAACAAGAAATCAAGAAACAGAGCAAGACAGAGAATGAGGCAAAGAAGAACAAGAAACAACTGGCCAAGGAAAAGGCTGCCCTCAAGGAAGCTCGCAGACAAGAAAAACAGGTCTGTTTTAACACTCTCTTTAAAATTATTGAATTTTTTCATGAATAACTTTGAGACTGTGGGTTGGAAGTTTATCCTGAATTAACAAACCCCTATGACAAAATACTTGTATTGTTTTACATTTGAAGTGCTGTTGCTAGCTGCCCGTTCTTGAGATGGCGAAACAATGTTTTTGCATGTAGCGTCTTTTCCAGTAATTCAGTTTTAAAAAGATGTACATGAATATATGTTGCGCCGGCGCATGCAGACTTGGTCTAACATTATAACTAATAACGAGCACATCAAAATATCATATTGCCGTGTTGAGAAGGAGCATCTGTAATACCGCATATTTTGCCAACGAATTTAGATAATTTTTTATGGGAATGGGGTGCCATTTTTATTTTGTGAATTGTATAAGCAATTTGAATTTTCATTTGTACGAATCTACAACATTCTCCAGCTGTTAAACACAAAGATGTTTGGTAATGTCACTGAGGGTAATTATGATCCGATCATCTTATATTTCAATTTCAATTTCAAATTCAATTTTTTGTCCAATATTGGAAATTTGATTTACTCACATTTTACAAACGTACAAAGAATCAAAATAATTTTACATACATAATGTATATCATATACTTTGACATAGAAATCCTTCCAAATATTACTATACAGAAGTATTCTTACGTTATTAGAAACAAAACATTTACAACTTTTACAGAAGGAGGCTGCCAGACAGGGAGAACGTGAGATGGTATTGAATTAAAAACAGAGATGTAATCTTGTGTAATTTTTTTTCTGTAGTAGACACTTGATAATAGCTTTTCATTGTAAACCTATCACATTGACACATTTATCTTTTTATTTTGTGAATTGCATGAGCCATTTGAATTTTTTATTTGCACGAATCTACAACATTCTTTGTTATTGTGTTGATATTATTGGCTTCTCTACTATGTTTTGATGTAATGGTGTGTGTTCAGATTCGATTGGAAGTTTAATAGATCCCACTACCGGTATTAAACACAAAGCCAAATACGTTAAAAAGACAATATTTGCAAAAAAACTTGATGTATAATATGTTTTGCCATATTTGAATTTGTTCTTTCTGTATAAGGAAAAATGACCATCCACTGGCAACTAAATTGATGAAAGTTAGAAACCACTGTAATGGCTAGTCTTTGTAAAACACCACATTTGTTAATCAGTGTAACTCCTTGCACCTTCAGTCCACCAAACTTTTTTAAAGGCATTTCTTTCTAGCAAATGGGTACACCTGGTTTGAAAGTGGCAAATTGTCTTCCCAAATGGTTTGCACGTGTCTTTCAATCAATCGGTATGAAATAAAATCAAAATGGCAAATGAATTATTTTTCAAACTACAGTGTACTTAAAAAGTGCTTTCAATGGAGGCGCGATACCTTAGTCGGTAGAGCAATGGTCTCGTAATCCGGCGACCCGGGTTCGAAACCAAGGCGATGCGCTAGTGCCCTTTGGTAAGGCATTAATCCTCATTACCAGGTCTCTCGGAGAGGACCTAAAGCCGTAGGTCCTCTGGCTGCTTACGTTTGCATATAAGTTGTATTTAATATTTCATGTGGTTTATTATAATTCTGAGTCCATATCTGGTTTATTAACATATTTCAATCAATTTCGATGCAGTCCTTATTTTGTGTAATGCCATATTCTTCTTTGCCGTTTACTTGTAATTCAATGTTTTTAACATGTTCCTTTAGTATTTCTCACTTTTCCTTCCTTATCCTTTCTTCTTTCTCTTGCGCTTAGAAACATTGTATTAAGCGCATTATAAATGTAATGTATTATTATTAGTAGTACTAACAAGCATTTATGCTTTCTTAGCGGTCAGGTAAAATAACCACCACCACCATATTTATTTATTTATTTAATGTTTCGCTGGAAAATTTTCTGTAGATTATGAAATGTTTTTTATCCATATCTTTGATTTCAGCGAAGAGAAGAAGAGAAGAAAGCATTGGCAGAGAAGAAGAAAGCTGCAGTGGAAGCTAAGAGAAGACAAGAATATGATGAAAGGAGAAAGAAAATGGTATGTACATTGTGAACTGACACTGCATACCATCACGTTATTATATAATCAATGAAATGTAATTATGCACTGTCTCCCGTCTCCCCCCCCCCCCCCCCCCCCAAACAAAAAGTTAAAAAAAAAATAAAAAAAAAAAAAAATAATAATAATAATAATAAATTGTTATAAAAGAGGGGCCAGGGGGAAAAAGATGAAAAAATGAATAAAAATAATAAGTAGATAATACAAATATTATAAAAATAAAGGCTGATATAGGAATCATTACTATATATGTATGTCTGTACTTTTCTCCATACAAATAAGGACATATAGCAGCTTTTGATTGCAGGTACATTTTGTTCTCCCCCAATTGCCATTGATTTTAATACATGTAAAAGGATCTTCATTTCGATGCATCTCTTTTTGGACATGGTTTGAATTACTGGTGATTTACAACTATCACACTGCAGCAAAGATCTTCCTAGCTTCATTTTCTCAAAATTATAGAGATAGGGATAAGTTAACAGTGTTTGGTCCAGGGTTGAAGTTAGGAATTCTGTAGGAAAATGACACAGAGCACTTGTCACGAGCATGTCTCGAACCTACTACAGTCAAACCTGTCTATAGCGACTGCCCAAGGGAAACACAAAAGTAGTCTTTGTAGACAGGTTCCTTTAGTACATGTTTCAATGAGAAACCATTTTCAAGAGGAAACCAAAAATGGTGTCTTTGTAGACAGGTGGTCACTAAAGCAGGTTTCACTGTACCTGTTTAAAATGTCATCTGTGAAGAGGGATTCAGCATCACAGACAGAACTACCAATCGTACTGCTGTAATTTATTTGTTTGTCAATTTGTTAATTTATTTGTTTGTCAATTTGTTTATTTATTTGTTTGTCAATTTGTTTATTTATTTGTTTGTCAATTTGTTTATTTGTTTGTTTGTTTGTTTATTTATTTGTTTGTCAATTTGTTTATTTATTTGTTTGTCAATTTGTTTATTTATTTGTTTGTCAATTTGTTTATTTGTTTGTCAATTTGTTTATTTATTTGTTTGTCAATTTGTTTATTTATTTGTTTGTCAATTTGTTTATTTATTTGTTTGTCAATTTGTTTATTTATTTGTTTGTCAATTTGTTTATTTATTTGTTTTTTGTTTGTTTGTAGGAGGTAGAGGAACAGCTTCGTGATGCAGAAGAGGAGGCCAGACGAGCAGAGGAGGAGGAAGAAGAAGCAAGGCAGATGCTTCAAGAATCCAGGAGAGCTGCCAGGGATGATCGAGAAAGGAAGAGGAAGGAGGAGATGGAAAAGAAGAAAATAGAAAGGGAACGGCAGCGAGAGGAACGAAGGAAAATGGTTAGTCTAGATTGTCTATATGTATGGGCTTTGTCCAGTCAGGGCCTAAGTTGCTGCTGCTTAGGAAAGAGGATCATTTACAAGTTTTAGGGACCGATTAAGGCTACAGAAATGATTGATTTGATTGGCTATGGTTAAATTTTGTCAGAGATTGTGACAGTAATTCAAAACAGAGAAGTAATCTTGTGTAATTTTTTTTCTGTAGTAGACACATTATAATAGCTTTTCATCGTAAACCTATGATCACATTCATCTTTTTATTTTGTGAGTTGTAGGGGCAATTTGAATTTTTCATTTGTACGAATCTACAACATTTATTGTTAAATTATTTTGAAATGATTGGCTTCTCTACTATGTTTTGATGCTTATATGATATACTAATGGTATTCTTGTTTGTATCATATATATATGGTAAACACAAAAATGTTTGGTAATGTCACTGAGGTTAATGATGATCCGATGATCTTATATTTCTATTTCAATTTCAAGGTTTCAAATTCAATTTATTGTGCAATATTGGAAATTTGTTTTGGTCACATTTTACAAACGTACAAATTGGAATCAAAATAAGTTTACATACATAATTATATCATATACTTTGACCTAGAAATCCTTTAAAATATTGCTATACAGAAGTATTCTTACGTTATTTTATTATAAAAAAACATTTACAACTTTTACAGAAGGAGGCTGACAGACGTAGAAAGCGTGAGATGGTATTGAATTCAAAACAGAGATGTAATCTTGCATGTGTAATTTTTTTCTGTAGTAGACACTTGATAATGGCTTTTCATTGTAAACCTATCACATTGACACATTTATCTTTTTATTTTGTGAATTGCATGAGCAATTTGACTTTTTTATTTGCACGAATCTACAACATTCTTTGTTAAATTATGTTGAAATGATTGGCTTCTCTACTATGTTTTGATGGTTATATGATATACTAATTGTATTCTTGTTTGTACAGTCAAACCTGTCTATAGCGACCGCCCAAGGGAAACACAAAAAGTGGTCTTTGTAGACAGGTTCCTTTAGTACATGTCTCAATGAGAAACCATTTTCAAGTAGACAGGTGGTCACTAAAGCAGGTTTGACTGTATCATATATATGGAAATTGCAAAAATGTTTGGTAATGTCACTGAGGTTAATGATGATCTGATGATCTTATATTTACAACTTGAACAGGAGGAAGCTGCCAGACAAAGAGAACGTGAGATGGCAGAGCGCCTAGCAGATGCCTCGGAGAGGAGACGCATGAGAGAGGAGGCTGAGTGGGAGGCTGAGGAAAGAGAAAGGGAGGAAAGAGAGAGACGGGAACAAGAAGAAGAAGAAGAACAGAGGAAGATGGAGGAAGAAGAAGAAAGGATAAGGGAGTTGGAAAGACAGGTAAGAAAGAACCTCAATATATTGATTGTTTGTCATTATTTTGAGGGATCCACATTTTAAAAGCTCTGCTTTTCAGTGGATCCCTCCATTTCCACAGGTGTATCTTAAAAAAAAACATTATACTGGATATTTATGTATGTATACTTTCAGTTTCATAACTTTAAACCATGTAAAATATATTATGTTATTGAATGTTGAATTGTATATCTGGTTTCTTGTCAAAATTACTGTTTTGTTGGAAATGAAAAATAAAACTGAAACTGAAACAAGAAAGAAAGAAAAACAGGTTGTCAAGTTTGAAGGGAAAAAATGCTAGAGATAAGCTTTGATTTTTGCTTTTAGGTCTGACACCTTAGCTAAATTTTGTTTGAACTTCTTTCTGGTGCTAATTGCAAATTTCTTGGATATATCAATTGTTAATGCTTATGATTATCATAGTACAGTTAAATGTTGATGACTTATTATTCATGTTTGGCTGTCAGACAATTCCCTTGGGAATATTCTAGATGTGCTTGTGCAAACTACATGTAAACATGGACACTACCTATACAAGTCCATAATTCTCTATGATTCTGCTCTTTACAATGGTTGAATCGGCTTCAATATTTTTCTCTTGTATCTGATGTTGTTTGCAGGCTGAACAGGAGGCATTGGAGAGACTGTCTCGTGAACGAAGGGCAGCAGAGTCAAGAAGAAGAGAAGCAAGAGAAGAAGCAGAGAGACAGAAGGAGCAAGACGAGATAAGGATGTAAGGCTTTTATGTGTTGTTAATCACCTATACATTATTCTGTCCTATCTATTAAAGCCCCACTGCACTAGTTTGGCCAGGAGGGATTAGACTTCCCTGAACGGTCACTGACAGGTGGTTATCTCATCAAATAAGCTCTCAATTAACAGGTGGTTATCTCATCAAATAAGCTCTCAATTAACATAAGAAAGAGGGGATAATGAGGGACCAACGGGTACCGATTAGGCATTGTTTGCTACATATAGAGGGCGCAAGTAGCTATAAGTAGTGCAGTGTGGCTTTAAACAAATGTTAGCCTCATTTGAATATATATATATTTCTAAAAACAATCCTGCTTTAATAATGCAGTGTCTCGTATGGATATAGATCAACATTTAAAACATTTAAAACATAACTTACACGAATTGAAGTACTAGGTTTTGTTAACAATGAAATATTGTTATCATGGTATTACGTACTTGGTATTCATCCTCATATACTTTTACTGGGGGATTACAGAGAAGACTTTATTTCAAAAGAATTTGAACCAACAAGATATAAAACAATTAAGATTGTAATAATACCTTAACCGTGCCAAATCAGGATCTTTGTTTTAACTCTATATAATGAGTTCTAATAATGATCACTCTTTCAAAGTCTAACACACTTCTCACCAAATGTTAACCAATCACGCATAAAATGAACATGTAATTGCATGCTGATTGATGAGCATGTATTCTGTAGATACTTGACACAATAAAACTTTCAAGTAGATTTCCATTGAATTTAAATACAAATTTCGTTTTTAGATATGGATTTTATAAATTGTATCTAAGGTTCTAAATTGCCAGTTGAAAACAAATATCAAAATTATATTGTAGTTCATTTCTAATAATGTCAATCCCTGTGACGTATTTAGACTTTTCAGCCAAACTGTTCAATATTTTCCTGTGGTTGGTATTAACCCTCTTCTGACTGGAGGGGTCATTTTGACCCCCCCCCCCCCTTACGCAATCCACGACTGCCGCGCAATCGGCATATCACAAGTTCCCTTTTTGTGATATTTTCCTTTCGAATGTCTCGCAACGTTTCAAACCAGTTTGCACAAATCGGTCAATCCGTTGCAAGGTCACATATCGGGTCAGAATAGAACGTAACAGAACTTTTGTGTACAAAATACAGCTTTTTTTCTGAAAATGGCTCTATCAGGTCTCTAATATGTCAAAACTTGCTTTCAAAAAGCCCAGTCAGAATAGGGTTAAACATGTAAATAAAAGAAACACTAATGCTAAATATATTACTCATTGCGGATATAGTATTGAAAATAATATCGCTAGTGACAATAATTGTCTCACAATGTGTGGTTAACAAGGGATCAAAAGATCACAACGTTTTGTGTGCCGCTGCAATACTTTATCAGGTGATAAAAGAAACACTGTTAACAGATCCTTTCCATATTGTTTCTTGTGTTTGCAGGAAAGAAGAGCTGAAGAGACTAGCGGAGGAGGAGGAGAAGGATAGACAGCGGCAAATTCTGGCTGAGAAAAAGAGGCAAGAAGAACTAGAGAAATTAAGACAAGTAAGTATGCTTTTTGTCAACAAATTGACCTTTTCTGTGTAGTGTTTGAGTGTGTTTGGATAAGCCAACTCTCTAACTTTTAAAGATTATTTCACTGAGAATGTTATATTTTATAGAAATTAAAAATTTTACAACACTATATTTAGATGCTGCTTATAACACTGTATTTGTTTTAAAATAGTTGGACATGCTTAAATTCAAGCTTGAACAATGAAAATTGTCTTCTATTTTCCCTTTAGTTCAAGTCTACGTTGGATACATTATCTGTAGGTCATGAACCAAAAATATGAGATATTTATAGTGAAACCTTCTGTGATACATGTTCATATAGATAAATGAAGCTTTGAAATTTGTGATGTGAAGAATCCCTTGACCTTGACCTACCTTGACCTTGACCTAAGCCTTCCGCACCATCTGGGGGATGTGTGATGGCTTCTGCTTCATGACCTCAACCCAGATCTTCCTATCTTGTGATGTTCTGGTCGCTTTTGTGAGGGATCCTGGACATCTTGTAGCACCACCAGCCTTTACACAATCTAACCATTTCTTGGCTGGTCTGCCTGGGGTCTATCACCATGAATATTAGAAGTTAGGAGTATCTTTGAAGAACCCATGTTTTCATTTGATGTATATTTACGTTGGCGACCATGGAATGCCACAACTCTCTGTCCCATATTCTATGTAATGAATAATTCATTCTCCACAAGATCCATTCCACTTTCAGAAATCCCAGTCCTTAACCTACTCATCCATGGAACTCCTCCTCCCCTCTATTCTTCCAGTCAGTGCAAGATTTTCCAAACCATTCTTTCGAATAACATGACCCATGTTTATTTACTTGCTATTATTTATTTCTAGATTCAAGCAATGGAGGAGGAGGCTCGTGCGCGAGTTCAGAAGAAGCTTGAGAGTCGACGCCTATGGGCTTTGAGGCGTCGTGAGCGCAACAATGAACAGCGAAGCCACATGAACGGCATGCGCTCCACACAGGGCATGACACGCCCTTGGGTCTTCAGCTACTATCTGCTCTGGCCGCGGGAGACGTACGAGAGGAGACTACCTTCCAAGGAGAAGAAGAAGGGATTCAGACCCCGTCCCAAGCCTCCTGCACTCCCGCCCCCAGCCAGGTAAGGAGGAAATGCCCGGCACAGGACCGGTCTCTAGCTAGTCAGCTAGTCACAACCGGTTCAGGACAGGTCACAACCGGTTCTGGATGAGAGGGGAAAAGAGTTTGATTTGCTGCAATGCTATACACAGGGATGCCAGTTTTCAGGCTCTGGCAAGTTATTTTCAGACCATATTTTAAGGCTTTTTTGTGTACCAAATAGCTCATTCTAAGTTAATTTTCAGGCCCTCTGATCTTTTCTAACTGGCATCCCTGTATACACTTCAAGGCAGGATGATTCAGAGAAATCTGACCCTGCATCCTTTCAAGAATTTAGAGTTTAATGGTTCAAAAATGTGACGCTAATATTCTTTTCGTAAACAGTGCATATTTATATTTTATTGACTGGGCTTGAGGGGTACATCAGAAATATTGACCAAGCTAAGATCATCGTTGGAAACCTGGAAGAGGGCAATATGGCAAATGTTGCCTGCTCTAGTTTCATATTCAGAGTAGCGTGCAAAATACGACTTTTTATTTTGCAGCTAAAATGCCTTGTATACTAGGTAATACATCATGATCAAATTGGTCTTCAGATATTAAACAAGCAGTTTCATTAAATGTTTTTAACTCAAAATCTAGGCACTTTATTTTAGACAGGTATTCACCAAGTTTGTTTGTTTAAATGTATAGGCATACCCCCCCCCCCCCCCCTTTATGTTGTTGTAAGTGATTTGTTATTTTTTGTAGCATCCTTAATGTATTATGTTACAGGGTCAGCTAATCACAAGGCTTGTTCCTTTCTTGCTGTCCCTCTCATACTTAATCCAAAGTATACTTTATTAATTTTTCTTGTGAATTTTACCCTTTTTATCATGTTGATTTATGAATGTTTGCATGTGTTTTCTGGATTTTTATGAGCAAATAAATTGAAATTGAAAAAAATTGATGATATAACTGCTCTATGCACTCCCAAAGGACTGTGGATGTACCTGTCTTCACCTTTGGCAACTGTAGTGCTCAGTGCACTCAAAGTCTAAATCCTACCTGTTACTCATGCACTACACCTGGGTCTAGTGAGGTAAATGTAGATCAATGTCTTGCAAAAGGATGTTAGTGCGATGGCACAGAATTGAACCATGTATCTTCTGGTGACCGATCCATTAGACCTGAGGGTGTTTCACAAAGACTAAGATCGACTTTAAGTTGGACCTAACTATGGCAGGCCATTCATGCCACTGCATGGTTGCTCTCACCATTGGTCTCTCAATTTTGATCTTTAGATAATATTTTTTCCTTCAATAATGAATTATCAAAAATATTAATTCTGTAGATTTGCGACCATGATTTGTACATCCCTTGAGAAACCAATGCCAGTAAACGGTAAGAGCACATTGGTATGAATGGCCTTCCATATTCAAGTCCAACTTAAAGTTGATCTTATCTTTATGACACCTCTATGGAGATGCACTTGACTCAAAATGTGAAGGTCTTGTGTTCAAGCTCCAGGCGCTATAATATCATTTGGCAAAACTTTAATTTGAATTTGCTGCTCTCCACCCAAGGTGTAAAATGGGTACCTGGTAGGAAAGCATTCCTTGAATGCCAAAGTTGGTAGCCTAGCTGGAGCCGGGATAATATTTGAATGCCTTGAGCACCTTGCATTGTGATTAAGTAAGAATGTAATTAAGCTCTTCTGCAGATCACACAACTATAAATAGTTTTAGCAGGTTCACTATACCACATCATTGTAGTCAAGATTGAAAGCTGCATACATGTACAGGTAAATGCAATTCATTGTTAATTACTTACTTTTTCCCATTGTGATGACTTTAATAGAGAGACCGTTATATATTTTTCAATGAGAATTGAAAAAAAAAAAGTTTTTCAATGGTGAAATGCATTGTAACAACATATTGAGATTCCTTCTCAACAGTGCTTGTATACTTTGAACAATAGAAATTAAGTTTTTTTCCTTTTTTTTAAATGGAAGTTGTTTAAATTAAAAGTGAATGTGGCCTAATATGGGTATTTTAGTTTGATCATTTAGAAGCAGCTAGCATGCACATCTCATATAACAAAGCCAAAGGTCTGCAGAATAAATTGCAAGCAATGTTGTATGTGTGTTTTAGCAAAAGTAAAGCAATGCCAATATGTACATTATGACAATCATACATGTATTATGTACAGTGTCAGTTATATTGAGCAAACACGGGTAGGATGAATGGGAAAAGGTGTTCTTTTTGTGCAGGAGAGATCAATTCCTGTTTTAGGGGACTCTTGTGTGATTTTATTTGACATGCAGTCATGTGATTCAGTCACATGTGTGTCATATGACATGTCATGTGACCTAATTACCTTGGGCCTGTTTGAACACAACATGCTTTCAGTAACTTGGATTTGACATAGATCCCAGCTAGAGTTATCTTGTCCATTAATTGCTCTGATGACTCTAGACTTTGCTCTATGGTTATAATATGAAAAGAAAAAACATTTGCACTTCTGAATGTACCGGTAGTACATATAATAAATAATATAAAGGTAAATCATAAGACATGTTTGATAATGAAACTTGCAAGGTGATTCAACTTTCTTTAAAATTTAGGAAAAACACTCAACTTGTTAGTTTCTAAAATGTAGTTTCTAAAACTTGTAGTTTCTAAATTGAACTGATGACTTTCAAATCATTTTTTAAGAATTGTTAATATTTTACCTTTAAATATATTATATAAAAATATAAAAAAGAAGTATATTCCTAAATAGCTACTGCATAGATAATTAACACTATATTTCTGTAATGAATCATGTTTAAGCCAAAATATATTTATATTCAATATTGATAGAAATCTGGTTGTAGAACATTATGTATTTTTATAAAAAATACTTGTACAGAGTTGTTTATATACTCTGCCAGCATTTTTGCTGCATGCAGTCAGTCTTGTTACTTTTCTTCTTTTTTTTTCTTTTTTTAATTTGACCCATTATGTAACATACATGTATGGTGTTCCTACATGCAATCACTCATAAGCTATTGGGCATTTTATATTCCCTTTGATTATTCTAGCTTAAACTTAGAAATGAACGAAAAAAGATTAGATTTTGCACCAACTGAGTATTTTTTTATACAGATTTTTACCTTTTTGTTTATTACACATTCTTATATGAACATACATGTACATTAGATTATTTTTATCCAAGCCATTTACATGTACCGTACATGGTGCTTTCACTTTTAAAATATGATCGCATATTATTACTTGTGCCTTTTGTAAGTGGTGCCTGTTTATAACAAAAACAAGTATTGTCAGTTTATCAATTTATACCATTTTGGTATTTTTTTTCACCTTCAAGTACTTCTTGTAATATAATGTATTTTGTATTTTATACACCATCATGCAAACCATTTCACTCCTTTTAAATATGAGAAGTATATTATTATATGATGTGTTTATTAATCATTTAATGGAAAGTGCATTCTCTTACAGTGCATCACAAAATGATTGTGTATTACAGACTAACATGTTTGCAAATCTATGTGCAGTAGAAAAAGGTGGAAGAATGAAGTGCATTAATTAGTTTTCTGAAGTGCCATAGGTTTTCATGAAGCTCAGTCAGGGTATGTGCACATGGTTCAACATTAGCAAAATCGTGTTCATTAAATTCAGATTCATTTATTCTGATGTTGATGATAAATCTGTGCCGTAATAATATATATATTCATGTATATTTAAGGATTGTGTGGTAGCTAATATTGACGTAAAATACACAGTTTTGCTGTTATTGTATTTGTAAGCTTAGTTCCTGTAGAATTGTGAACATTTTCCACCATTTCTTTGATGTACATCTTAATTTCTCTTTGAATTCTTATTGAAGTGATATGGTGTGTACCTGTAAAGTATAGAGCGCATACAAAATATATACATAATGTACTCGTCCAGAGGGATTGGTTTGAATAGAAGAATTCATGTAAGAATGAAAATTGAGCTCGACCCTATTTAAAGTGAAAAATGAAATAGGTGAATTATATATCATCAGAAAGCTTATATATTACAACAATTTCAATTATATGCCATTTAAGAGGAGATATATCAGCTCTCTGTTTAAGTGTCTGTCAGAGGAGTATTAGCTCTCTGAAAACTCAAAATCTAAAGCTTTGAAAATCAGGAAGTTGTCGACTTAAAAACTTGCTATCGACTTAATGGCATCATTATATGTGGAGTACGCATATTCACAAAGACTTTGCATTAATAAAGCACGGCTAATCGCCTCAGCTTTAAATTAAAGATTAACCGATCAGGTCCACATGTTATGTCGTCACTCAGAAAGTTCTCCATTTATATTAAGTTGTACATTGGGAGTGTCGTGGTCGAGTGGTTTAAGGCGCTTGACTGGAGATGCGAAGGTCGAGGGTTCGAATCCCGACACGGCACTAATATCCTTTGGCAAGAATTTAACCTGCACTTGCTACTCTCCACCCAGGTGTCAAATGGGTACCCGGTAGGATGCGGCCGTTATTGTTGGTCAAACAGCTTGTGAGCGTCAAGTAACGCCCAGCTGGAATGCTCCCCAGGGAGTGGAGATTGTGCACACAGTGTGTGCGGGAGAGCACTGAATCCAATGACCGGGGTAATTGTAAAGCGCTTAGAGACATTTGTATTAAGTGCTATAAAAAAAATTAAATATTATTATTATTATTCTTCAGATATAGTCTTTAAGTTCACCACAAATCTACGCTATGTCAATGTAACTTGGTAATGATAATGTTTGATTATGATATCTTGATTCTCTGCACTATGTTTCCTAGCCTAGAATTCACAATATAATATTAAGTTCTTGCAAAATGGTCAAGAAGATCTCACCAATAATGATTAAGTGCACTTATCAAATTTGACACAGAAAAACGTAGTTAAATTGCGCAAAAAGTCTGTACTATCTGTATATTATATTTTTTGAAAATATTATTTACATGTTGAGGAAATATGAAAGATGTATTGCAAAGGTCCTTGTTTGTTATTTGATGTTTGATGTCTTGCCTTAATGTTTTAGTTTGATTTTGAGTATGGTCATTTTGACATGTTTCTGCCTGTAAATGTTATGTCTCTCATTAAAGATGATTTGTATTTTTTGGTTCAATTTTCCCTTTCCCCCTTTCTACAGGGCATTTGGAATTAATGTTTTGCTGGTAAAAGAACGAAAACTTTGTTCAATATTTTCAGAATTACAGTATACATGCTTAATGTATGATCTATTTCAAACAACCCTTGTGTTGACAATGCCCCCTCTCCCCCCCCCCCCCCAAAAAAAAAAAAATGCAACATGTTTATTAATTTGTGTCTCCCTTTTGTATGTTAGTGTTATTATTATTTGTTTAACAAAACATTATTGCTCAAATGTCTTTGGCTTCATTGCAAGATATGTGCTACAAAAGACAGTGATTAAAGAAACATTGATTTAAAAGGGAAGGTGGTGAATAATAAAACAGGAGGTAGGTTACAGTATATATTTTTTTTCTTCCATTTTCCGTCCATTACAATTTATATTTGTTATGTTGTGCCTTTTGTGAAAATGCGATAATGATCAAGATCAATTAAAGATATATTTTGCACAGTTTCAATTCACAACCATCGACCTGTGTTGTAATTTGTTTTACTACTTTGTTGGTGAATGG